TGAACCCTAGCTTGAGTCTTTCTCTAGAAATTACGTGTTTTATAGAGACAGTCACTGTGGCTTATTCTTTTTTCTTTGATTCAGTCCTTATCAATTTTCCTGCACACACATTTTTGCTTAATAAACAAATGGAAAATATTCATCATCATCCATCACTTAATTATCCAACTGCGGAAAATTTCACCTGTCTCATTATTGCATATTCCATTCTTCCTATTTACAGTGCTAGTCAAGAATGGCTTAAGTCTAAACTAAACTTTACAATAAACAATACAATAAACAATAGTAGTTTGGTGCAAACATTTTGTGAAACAATTTCACAGAGAAACTGATTTTGGAAACTATGGCACTGCTTGTTAAGTATTCCTTTTTTTCCTACAAAACAATAATTTTACATCATGTGGGATCAAGTTCTGGTGCCTTGTCAAATTTTCATTTAAGCTCCTGATGTAATCCTCTGATTCCAACTCAGAGTTGCTATTTTTAAATGAATACTTTCCTTGAACTGACTTTTAATTCCTTGGGTAAATTCTGCTTGCTATTAGCAGTTGAATAGTTGTGCATCAGGGTTCAGGAAAACAGCAACTATCTGCCAAGAACCACAAACCTTGGCCCTGGGTCTCTGTAATTCTGACAGCTCCACCTTCTCTAATGGAAGTATCAGTACCAGCGAGCACTCTGCTGGCACTCAGTGGTGGAAATATTAACACTCCATGGTCCCTTTTAGGTAAACTACATTTCATCACGTCTCTGGCTTTAAAAAAAGAAACAAACAAAACTAAAGTAAACTGAACTAAAAGAAGCTAGTAACTCTTCAGACAAGATTAAATAAACAGCATTGTTAAAAATTCTCCAAGCTCAAAATGAAGCACACCAGTGCTCAAGAGGTTAAACCATTTAAAAAAACCCCAGCCTATTCAAAGGAGAAAAATATAGAACTCTGAAGAAACTCTGACAACTCATTTAACAAGCACATAATGTTTGTTCTCAAAAAAGTCAGCTTTTGAATTTAAAGGAGTTGAAAGGTTCATTTCTGGAAACAGCTTGTCCTCAAGTTTTTTAATAGTTCAGTTAAACTGGAAGTGGGAGTCACAGGATGAGTATAATGGAAATAGGCCAACCTTTTCAGTGACCTTAATTGTTGCATGATAAGGAACTTGCAAATAAATCAAGACTTAACTCAGTTCTCCAAATGAAGCTTAATAGTCTTCTACTCTGAAACCAGTTCCTATAATTGGTGATTATTAAAATCTGGTTATTCAGAAAAAAATAAATTTCAGAATAAAGTAGAAATATCTGAACGTGATAAGATAGCCAAGCACTGATATTTACAAGGCTATTTGAGGATAGTTAATATATTAAATATGTAAACAGAATGCTTATGCAGGAAGGCTGTAAAGCATAGTGGGTAAGATTGCAAGCTCTGTTTTCTTGATTGCCTGGACATAATTCTTACCTCAATTTACTAGGTCACATGGGGCAATTTATCCCGTGTAATTCTTAGTTTCCACATATGTAAAATTATAATAATAGTAGTATTTGCCTCCCAGAGTTATTATGGACACTAAAATACTTAGGGACACTAAATAAAATTTAATCTGTACACCTAAACATTAAAGGAGTAAACTAGATTTTCAGGATCTGTTTAGGTTAAGAGGCAGAAGTACACTTTATTATTAATGATTGGACTATTAAAGTTTATCCAATTAATTCTTTCATTTTATGTGTAACCAAAGCAGTATTATCTTTTTAATACTTTTATAAGAAATATTCTACTCTTTACAAAAAAAATTAGGACATTTAAATGTATTTAGATAATATACAGAATAATGTGTATCTTAATAAAACAATGTTTAAAAACAAAAGTCCCTTTAAAAACTTGTCCCATTAGAAAATTAAGCTTTCAAGATTGTAGAGATATTGATTTTTTTCTTCACAGTTATTTTCTTATAAATTTTAAACAGCTTCATTGATACATAGTTAAAATATTATACAATTTGCCCCATTTAAAGCACAATTCAATGTTTTTTAAAAACATGTTCCCAGATTTGTGCAGTAACAACCATAAAAGAAACCCCATGCTCATTACCAGTCATTTCTGGTTTCCTCCAACCTACCCTAGCCCTAAGTTATCACTAATCTGCTTTATTGTCTCTACAGATTTGCCAATGTTTGCATTTCATGCAAATGGAATTATACACAGTATGTGGTCTTTGTAACTGGCTCCTTCCACTTAGATTATCATTTTAAAACCTCATACATGTTGTACCATATACAGTATCACCATTCCTTTTTATTATCAAATAATATCATGCAGATGGACCACATCTTATTTATTCATTTATTAGTTGAGGGATATTTGGGCTTTGGGGTTGTTCCTATATTTATCTATGAAAATAATTTTGCTGGGAACATTTATGCATGAGTTTTTGAATAGAAATATTTTAATTCACCTTAAGTATATACTTAAGAGTGTTAATATTGGGTGTGGGGGACTGCCCTATTGATTTTGCCCAAAGCAGGCTGTGTGAGTAATACAGGCTGTAAAGCGTTAACTCTGAAATTGGCTGACTCAGAGAAGCGAGTCTGGCCAAAGCCTACCTGCCAAGGTCAGAGTGACATGCCCCTAAATTACACTCACAGAGTTAAAACCTTCTTTGCTAAAAAGACAAGGTTAATTATTAACCACAACCCATATTTTGTCTGTTCTGTTCTTAATTCAAGAATGCATTGTCTCTTCCTTTACAAGCCTTGCCTGCATCAGCAATGTATCCGTAGCAACTCCATGTAGTCCCTCCATTTGGCCCCTTTACCTCAATCTAACTATGATGTCACCAATAAATATCAACAGCTCTGGGTGTTCAGGGCCTTTGCTTGTTCACCCTTGCACAAGCATTGGCCATCCTGGCTTCCTGTATCTCTTTCTCTTTAACTCTAAGTCTTTCTTCTTGCCTTGTGACATAGTACTGAGCAGGAGATCAGAACTCACTGCAGGAGTCTCTGGTAATTCAGTCATATGTTGACTGTATGTTTAACATTTAAGGAATTGTTATATTCTTTTCCAGCGTGACTGCACATCGTTTTCATTCCCATCAGAGATATATGAGGCTTCTGATTTTTCCACATTCTCATCAAAACTTATTTTTGTCTTGATTACAGCCAATCCTAGGTAGCAGGAATCAGTATCTTACATGGTTTTCACTTGTATTTTCCTAACAGTTAATTATATTGACCACCTGTGCTACGCTTATTGGATATTTGTATATTTTCTTAAAGAAATGCCTATCATATCCTTTATCCATTACTAAACTGTTATTATCTTTTGCTGAGTTTTCAGAGTCTTTATATAGTCTGAATACAATTCCTTTATTAGATATATGATATACAGTATTTTTTCTTATTCTGTCAGTTGTTACTGTCACATTTTGAACCAATCCTTTATTTGTTAATCACTTCAGGAATGACAAAATCATAATTGTACTAATATTCTGTCTTACTTCAACAAAAATAACTAGAATTTGGCAAATAATTTTAGCTATTTTTTATATCTTACTCAGAAGAAGATGTTAGAACAAAGGTGGAAATGAGAACTTGCCTTTTTAAAATAATCATTAAACACTAACATGATGAACTGTGAATAATCCCAAAGAAATGAATCAAATGACAATTGATTCTCTTACCATATCATTATTTCATTAGTTCATTCAACTGTACCAGGTGATGTGGGAAATAAAAAAAATAGATATTGCATGTTCAATGAGGCACAAATAACCATAACATATTTTAGGAAGTGTTTGATTCAATATTGAGCAATTACTAAGTCACATGTATTATTAAGACCTTTGGAAACAGAAACACTAAGGCCATCTGTCTTGCCTTCAGTAGCTTTCAATCTAATGTCAGTGGAAATATGCTCATGTTTACATGTTGCATATAAACATATTTAATAAGACGCAATTCATAAAGTAATAGAGCACTGTACTAGGGAGAAGTGATCAAGTAAGAGAAATATATGTGTGTGTGTATGTATTCCTCTCTATATAAAGAAAGAAGTAGGTATGTGACCACACATGATTGAATGCAAAAAGCCATAAGACTAATAAAATCCTCAATGTGAGCATCACAAATGATAATGTGTAAATTCTGAGCTTGATGATCGAGAAGTTAGAAACTATGAGAAGTAACAGGGGGGAAAAAAATCACCCTTTCTCTCCCTTTCCCACCCAAGCAGTTTTAGGAAGAACACACATTTGTAATAAAGCTCATTTTGAAAGTCCTTTGTGTCACGCTTTCTCCACCCTGCTCCTCCCCTCAGGGCCCTGAGGGCAAATTCAGAGCAGAGGTGGGTGTCTAAGTCTTGCCTACTCCAGAGGCTATGGACCTTCAGGGCATCAGCGAGTTGCTGCAATCAGGGCAGACCCGGCTGCTTCTTCTTAGGTTTGAATACGGAGTTCTCACACTGATCCTTACGTGCTTTTCCTTAACGGGAGGACATTCTTAGCCCCCTCCCCATAACCCACGTATTTTATTCTGTGAGATCTGGGGAACTTTCAAGGGATAGATTTTTCTCTTTACTCTCATTATTATTTTATTAACTATACACCTACTACAAGCAGGGCATTTTGCCAAACTTTGCATATTTGAATAGTAAAAGACACAATCTCATTTTTTTTAAGTTTTGAGAGAGAGGGGGTAGGGATTATTATTATTATTTTCCCCTATATACTGTTTTGCTGTTAATTCTTTAAGAGTGACTAGACTCTTTGTTGAAAAAAGTTATAACCATTAATTCTATTTCAAGTTTAGTGTGAAGACACAATAGTTTATATTTGCTTGAAATTTATATTCATAGCTTATAGTTATCTAACTTTAATATCCATAGTTATTGAAATTGGGAACAAACAGAATAGTTGTTGAATTAATAATAGGGTTCTATATTTTTTTCTCTTCAAACAAATTCTTCTTAGCCCATAATATCATACTCAATATGCAATTCTTACCTGGGAGACAAAAGCCCAAGTGCTTCTGAAGGGTGAGAAAATTTCCACCTTCTCAAGATGGTGTGCATTTCTGAAATGGTCCTTTCATCCCATCCAGGGGCACTTCCCAGGACCAAAGGAAGGGAGCAGTTTTCATTATTGCAGAAGAAGCGATAAAACCATAAGTATCTTCTCATTTCCTCAGAGAGTCTGAAAAACCAGATTGAAACCTGATTTCCTGGAATTTGCAACATTTGTGTAAATGCACAGTACAATACCTTACTCTAGTTCTTTGAATTTTGTTTATTTTATTTCAGAAAGCCAGTCTTTTATCTTCTTGTGAGAGTTTGATAGGTTATTCCACCAAAGTATTTTCCAAAAACTGTATTCTGTTGCAGAAAAAAATTGTGCAAAGATAACTCACATTTATTTTCCTCCCTCTTATCCCTGACACTTTTTTCAATATGTGATTTTAGTTGGCAAAGTTTCTGCCTCCTATTTTAGGGTAGACCATGTTTATCTGAATATTGCAACATGTTCTATTTACAATAGAGGTAATCAACCATTGATTCTCTTCCTTCTTTTACAAATTAGCTTAGACCCAAGTGGACTCCCATAAAGAAACAGCATATATTTGAAGATGAGATTTCTTCAGCTCAGATCAAGTTTCAGAAACAAAGATCTCAATTCACCTCTGCATTCTGGCTTTAGATTTTCAGAGTTCACTGGGAGTTTGGAATGAAAATACCACTGATGCCATTTTCTTAAATGTTCAAGTATTTCCCCCTGGAGAGAGTCCTGAATCAGAGGTTTCTATCTAAGACAAGGGCCACTGGCTTTCTGACAGTTGATCTTGTTTTGCTCACACTCTGCATAATTCATTTGGAGGACAGCAGGCAGCCTTTCAACCCTGCTTCCTCCAAATCACACTCCATTTCAGCTTCAATCAGCCAAGACTGGTTAAGAAGAATAATGATAAGTATTAAAATGATTTTAAATGTTAATTTTCCCTAAAGTTTCTTTTGAAGTCAACTTCATCTGTAAATACTGGAATATAATAAATCATGTTTAGGTTGCTTTCATAAATTTTGTTCTTATCTTTCCCATTAGAAGGCCAGCAAGGGGGAAAAATCAATAGTAAAATTACTAAATCATAAATTGTTCTGATTAAGTTCCTTTTTTCCTCTATCACTGAATAGTGTCTCTTTTTTTTCCTTTTCACATCTACTACTAAAGCATAATTTACATATAAGGAAAGGCAGATTCAGTTCAATAAATTGGGACAAATGCATATACAAGGTAACAACCACAGTCCCATCAATATATAAAAACAGTTTTTCATGCCACCAGAGGCACTGGTATGATTTCTTTTACTTTAGAGTAATGACTGAAATGGAACAATAGAATGCATACTCTTTTATTTATGGCTTCTTCGGTATAATGTTTTAAAATGATTTATATTGCTGAATGAATCAAGTTCACACCTTTTAATTAGTGAGCATTACTTGGTATGAATTCATCATAATTTGCTTATTCAGTTTTCTATGTGATAGACATTGGGTTGTTTCTCCTTTGGGTATATGAATAAAAGTGCTGTGATTATTTGTGTGGAAATTTTTTATGGATGTTATTTTTTTCAGTTCTTCTAGGATGAAATGAGGAGGGGAATGACTGGCTTATAGGCCAAGTATGTACCTTTTGAAGAAACTGAAATTGTTTTCACAAGTGGTGGTAAAATTTTACAATTTTACCTGCAGGATCCAACAGCTCCAGTTGTATCACATTCTTGACATTCTTGATTTTGCTATCTTTTCAATAATAGCCATTCTAACAGGAGCATAGTGCTATAACTTTGTGGTTGTGATTATTACTTACCCGATGCCTGGGTAATTTTTCATATGCCATTTCTTTATATATTTTCTTTTGAAGTATTTGCTTGCCTTTTGCCCATATTTTTGTTGGGTTGTTTGAATTTATTTACATGATTTTTTTATGTACTTTAGACACAAAAATTTTGTCATATAAATGTTTTACACACATTTTTCTCAGAACGTGCCTTGTCTGTTTATTTCTTTAGTGTTTTATGATAAATGGTTTTAAATTTTAATTAGTTCAATTTATAAATTTTCAAGTAGTTACTGCTTTCTCTTTTTTCTCTTAGAAAACTTTGACCATCCTAACATTCATTCTCCCGAGTTTTCTTCTGAAAGTTCAAAGTTTTAAATTTCACATTATCCTAAAATTGACATTTAGAACTACAATGAATTCACAACTTGTTAAAAACAAAAACCACATTGAACATATAAGTGGGACCCTATGGTCTTTATTTCACACTGTATCTGATTCCATTGATCTGTTTTCCTTCCTTAATCCAATACCACCTTTCTCTTAATTGCTGCCAATTTATAATATATGAAATAAGACATGTAAACTCCCCAACTTGTTATTTTCATGATTTCTTGAGTACTTATAACTATGTGTTAATTTATAAAATCAAATTTATAAAATTTGTCTATCTCTTCTAATTATTTTTTGCCTCAATTTCTCCTTTCTGGTAGGTCCACACACATATATTACATTCCTTGATGTTGTCTCATAGATCACAGGGATATTATTATTTGTAGGGTTCTTTTTTTTTTTTTGTACTTCAATATGTATAATTTCTATTGCCCTGCCTTAAAGTTCACATTTCGGTTTTTTTGATCTGCATTGTGCAATCTATGAAGTCCATGCATCTAGTGATTTAAATTTTTTTCAGTTCTGAAATTTCCATTTTTTTACTAAAATCTTCATGTTCCACTTACATCTTTTAAAACTCATAAATACTTTTGCAATGCTTGTATTAAAATCATTGTCTGATAGTTTAAAACACTTGTGTCTATTTCTATTAGTACTACACTGCAGAGGGCTATAGATATATTTCCAAATTCTCCCCACTTACTTTCCTAATTATTCATAGTTTGCTGTATATATCCTAAGAATTTTTCTAATTAACAAGTGTACATTATATATTTGAAGTGCTACATTATTGAGAGTTAGCATTCTGTTGTCTTTTGGTTGTTGAATGATTAATTTTTTAGTAGGCAGTTTAATTATTGGCAAGGCAGCCTGATTCATTGGAAACTTGTTTTTATGATTTATTAGGTTGGTTCTTAATGTGGGGTAGAGTTGACTTACTTTCACTATGTATGTTTCTGGCTTCTGTATCGAATATTAGATGTTTTGTGAGCTTTTCCCATCGTTACTGATAGGAATTTCTCTGTCTCCTAGTATTGTTCAACCTCTCATTCTACACTCATTTCCTAGCTTCCTGCAGGCCTAGAAAAGTCAACCTGCTCACAAGCAGCTTGTTACTCAACTCCATATTAAAGAGGGCTCTCTAAGGAGTCTGTAGCTACCAATCTTTCTTACTTCCCGTCCTATTGTGCTCTGAAGATTCTAGCTGTGTCAGCATCACTGAACTCTGATCTTGGCTTTTTAAAAAAAAAAACTTCAGCAATGCCGGAGATTTAGCTCAGTGGTTTCACTGCCTGCTGTGCAAGCACAAGGACCGGAGTTCGATCCCTGGTATCAAAAAAAAAAAAAAAAAAAAAATTCAGATAAACTAGAAGCTAGTAACTGCTCTTGCCAATTGTGAGAAAATGCATTTCAAAAAAACTTCAACAAGACTAAATACTCTTTTTTGATGCTAAACCTCCAGGCCAAAAGGCACTTTAATCATGAGGCTTACCTCAAGTCCTGTCTGCTCAATTCCTGAAAACAGTTGTTTCACATGTATTTTGATTGTGTCTTAGTTCTTTAAGTGAGTGGGATTCATCTGGTACTACGTACCTTTCATGTTGGAGTGGAAACATTAATTTTTTATCAAAACAAATTTTTATATATTTCATCTAAGTCTGTCCACATATTTGGAAGCACTTTTTGGGTGACTGGAGAAGAATAATTTTTTTCAATTTTTAATTTTTACAAATATCACAAGCACATTTTTATTGTATTTCATTGAGGTGGAATTTCTTGAGTCTGATTACACTTGATCAACTGAAAGAAGGAATAATTAAGTCACCAACTACATGATAAAATGTTAATTGGCTTAAGCCACCTAACTGTTATCTGGAAACTAGACTCAATCTGATTGTAATACAAGCTTCACCACATTGAAGGCTGCTCTCCATCTGTTTTCACAGTCCAGAATGAAACTGTACCATACTGAACATGAATAAAGATGGTTAACTGGAGGCAGAAGAAATGTTGTTTATTTTATTTATGCTATTAACATAAATAGAACTTGAAGTATAAAACAAGTAGAACTCACTGAGGTTAATTTTGAAAAGGATTCTTCTAATATTTGAAGGCAGTTACTGTTATTATTGTTTTGTTTGAAGATATTTAAAACTTGAAAGCACTGCATTTTTATTTAAAAATTCTCTCATTACAGATGTGTTGATCTCCTGTATATGACACACTAAATTGAAGGTTTCATATTTTTGAGTAAGAAGTAGAAAAACTGCTTCACTTAGTTAAAATGATAATAGTCTAATACAACAATGAATTGTTAATATTTGTGTCATGAGGATAATGTGACTCTTCTGCCATCTTCAGTCCTTAAGGGGACTTCTTATACCAGGCACCATGAAAGGACACTTTAGACCCTAGAATATATTTATTTTACACATATTATTTGTCACATGGCATATACAACATTGACAATACAGTGGTAAAATAGATAGGTTCTTCTCCATCCTACAGTCATTCTTGGGAATAAATGAAAGAACTGAGAAATATTCACACGAATGAACTGGATGATGATGACTTCATATTAAGTGTTATAAAAAGTAACATGACAGAGAGTAAAGAGAGAAAGACTTCAGTAGAGTGGTCAAAGAAGACTTCTTTGAGAGATGACATTTAAATGAAAACTTAAAGGGTAAGGTGATTTATAAGTGAAGAATTTAGGAAAAAGTATTTCAGATAGAGGAACATCACCTAAAAAGATCTTCAGGCCCCCTGTCCACACCCCACCTCTGAGCAACAAGCAGAGACAATCTCCCCAGGACTCCAACTAGCCATGATGAAAAAAAACTACACCTACACATATAATAATCAAGATCTCGGAAACCCAACAGAAGTACAAGCAGTTAGAGAAAAGAAACAAATCACATGGAAAGGAAACCCCATCAGAATCACAGCAGACTTTCTGACACAAACCCTCAAGTCAAGGAGAGCCTGGAGTGAGGTATTTCAAAAGCCCTAAAAGAAAACAACCTCCAACCTAGACTCATATATCCTGTAAAACTATCTTTCAAAATTGATTGGGAAGTAAGATACTTCCATGACAAAGAGCACCTGAGAAACTTTATGAATACCAAACCAGCACTCCAAACAATTCTAAACAATATCCTAGAAAATTACAATGAAGGTCACAACTCCATGAGGCCCAACAGAGCAATTCATCAGGCAAGGCAAAAAATTAAAGGGAGAGGGAGAAAAATAAAAAAGAATCAAAAACAGGAAAGTAACATGACAATGATAAGTCAATACATATCATTTACAACCACCAACATTAATGGCCTCAATTCACCAATCAAAAGAAATAGACTGGTAGAATGGATTAAGAAGCAAAATCCAACAATATGCTGTATATAAGAAATGCACCTAGTTCAAAAAAACTCACAGACTGAAAGTAAAAGGATGGAAAACAGTTCTCCATGTAACAGGAACCCAGGAAAAAAGCAGGGGTAGCCATCTTATTTGCAGGCAAAGTAAATTTCAAACCAAAACTAGTTAAGAGAGACAAAGAAGGTCACTACATCCTTGTAAAGGGAATAATCCAAGAGGAAGAGATGACAATCATAAATATATATACACCAAATACTAATGCCTCCAACTATACAAAACAAGTATTAGGCGACATGAAAAACCAAATAAGCACTAATACAATTGTAGTGTGGGACGTCAATAAGCCAGTCACAAATAGACAGATCATCTAGACAAAAAATCAACAAACGAAATAGTACAACTGAGCAAAGCTTTTGAACAAATGGACTTAATAGATGTCTACAGTGTTCCACCCCACAAAATCAGAATATACATTTTTTTCAGCTGCACATGGGTCGTCTCCAAAATAGACCACATACTGTCTCACAGAGCATGTTTAAGTACATGCAAAAGAACTAAAGTTATCCCATGTATATTATCAGACCATAGTGCAATTAAACTGGAAATCAATAGCATAAGAAACCCTAAGAACTTCACATGGAAATTGAATAACACTCTCTTGAACAACCAATGGGTCACAGAGGAAATTAAAGAAGAAATTAGACAGTTTTTTACAAATAAATGATAATGCCAATACAACATACAAGAATCTATGGGACACAATGAAAGCAGTTCTATGAGGGAAATTCATGGCAGTGAATGCCCACACTAGGAAAACAGAGCTAGCTCAAATAAACAACCTAATGCTGAATCTTAACCTCCTAGAAAAAGAAGAGTAAGGCAAACCCAAAACTCATACAAGGGAGGAAATTATAAAGACCAGAGTAGAAATCAATGCAATGGAGACTAAGAAAACCATACAAAAAAATCAACGAATTGAAGAGTTGGTTTTTCAAAAGAATAAATAAAATCAATAAACCCTTAGCCAACCTTATCAAAAAAAGGAAAGAAAAGGCTCAAATCCATGCAATTAGGAATGAAAAAGGTGAAGTCACAACAGATCCCGCAGAAATCCAGAGGACCATCAATACCTACTTCGAGAACCTGTACTCCAATAAAATGGAAAACACAGAAGAAATGGACAGATTTCTAGATACATATGAATTACCAAAGTTGAACAAAGAAGATATAAATATTCTAAACACCCCAATTACAATCAGTGAAATTCAAAATGTAATTAAAAATCTACTAAAAAAGAAAAGCCCAGGTCCTGATGGCTTCACTGTTGATTTCTACAAAACATTTAGAGAGGAACTACTGCCACTACTCTTTAAACTTTTCAGTGAAATTGAAAGGGAAACACTACTTCCAAATTCATTTCTGGAAGCAAGTGTTACTTTGATTCCAAAACCAGGGAAAGATGCAAGAAAAAAAGAGAACTATAGGCCAATCTCACTAATGAACATGGAAGCAAAAATCCTCAACAAGATACTGCCAAACAGAATACAGAGGGTCGTCAAGAAGATCATACACCCTGACCAAGTTGGATTTATCCCAGGGGTGCAAGGACGGCTCATCATACGTAAATCAGTACATGTGATACACTATATTAACAGAGTCAAGGACAAAAAACAATATGATCATCTCAATAGATTCAGAAAAAGCATTTGATAAAATTCAACACCCACTCATGATAAAAACCTTGCAGAAAATTGGAATAGATGGTTTTTAGCTCAACTTGATAAAGGTTATCTATAAAAAAAAAACAGCCAACATCATACTAAATGGTCAAAAACTGAAAACCTTCATGCTAAAATCAGGAACAACACAAGGATGTGCACTATCACCACTCCTGTTCAATATAGCTTTGGAAACATTAGCCTCAGCAATTAGACAAGGAAAAGAAATAAAAGGAATAAAGATAGGAAAAGAAGAAGTTAAATTGTCATTATTTGCTGATGATAGATACTCTGCATAGAAGACCCAAAAATGTCTGCCAAAAGATTTCTGGACTTAACTGACTGATTCAATAGAGTAGCTGGATACAGGGTCAACACTCAAAAATCAATAGCCTTCTTGTACACAAATCACAGACTCACTGAGAGAGAAATTAGGGAAACAATCCCTTTCACAGTAGCCTCCAAAAAATGAAATATTTAGGAATCAATCTAATGAAGCAAGCAAAAGACTTTTACATTGAGAACTAGAGCACCCTGAAAAAGGAGATCAAGGAGGATATAAGAAAATGGAAAGACATCCTTGTTCCTGGGTAGGAAGAACCAATATAGTGAAAATGGCCATACTTCCAAAATGGCTATACAGATTCAATGCAGTCCCGATTGAAATCCCAACAGCATATTTCACAGAACTAGAGAAAACAATTCCAAAGTTCATCTGGAACCAGAAGAGACCTAGAATAGCAAAAGCAATTCTAGGCAACAGAGTCATGGCAGGAGATATCACAATTCCCAACTTGAAACTGTACTACAAAGCCATTGGCAAAGAAACAGACCCAAGGATCAGTGGAATAGATTAGAAGACACAGAAACAACTCCAGACATACTCAGCTACCTCATCTTTGACAAAGGAACCAACCATCCTCACTGGAGGAAAGATACATTCTTTAATAAATGGTTTTGGAAAAACTGGATTTCAACTTGCCAAAGATTAAAACTAGACCCCTATCTTTCACCATGCATTAAACTAAAATTGAAGTGGATTAAAGATCTAAACATTAAAACAGAAACACTAGACTTGCTGGAAGATAAGTTAGGTAGAACTCTCAAAGACATTGGCATAGGAAAGGACTTTATGAACAAATCCTCAGTAGCATGGGAACTAGCACAAAGAATCAACAACTGGGATCTCATCTTATTAAAAA